TAATACATGTATTAAAACACAGGTAAAAATTGCAACACAAGTTAACTTGATAAGTCCTTTAACATGTTTAATAACACTAAAAAGGAAACGCACTTGATCATGTTGATCATTATAGCTTCGATTGGTACACAGGTCAGGGTGAGAAGTCAGTGTGACAATTAGGCCTATTAATAATTGCCACTGAGATGTTCAGATCATGATTGTGTGTTCGGGACCTTAAGCGTTCCCCATGGGGTTTGTCAATAACAACCTTCGATGCTTCCTTCTGATGAAGATGTTGACCACCTTATCCATTTGCAAAGGGAGAACCTTGTGGAGCAACAGAAGCAAGAGGGCGTTCAGTCTGACGTTATCCCTGAATACCCGCTGCTACTAAAAAAAATTTTTTTTAAAGCTTTATTGATTTTTTTTCTGGCGCTGCAAACGGGGGGGGGGGAGGGTACGCCGGCTCCGCCCTATGCTGGATACGCCACTGGTAACTTTAAGTAATACTGTTTAAGGCTGGTAAAATATGCTTACCAGGGCATAGTACTAAAGCTTTTTCACGTGGTGCGGACGAGCAGTTTTCGAACTGTCGCTTGCTTTCGTGCGTCCCTGCAGAGTAAAGGTAACAATTAACTCCCTAAAATGAGTTGAACATTTTACGCAATAGGTTTGCTCCATACACTTGGACACGGAGATGCTGTGGTTTTACATAAGGCATCATTATAACGCTGCGGCAGAGGCGTACGTGAAGACAGCGATCGCGGACAGTGTGTTCTGGACATTGGACGGCTCGGTCAGCGCCTTTTCTCCGAACACTCACTCTCCGCCGGCGCCATGTAAACGCTGCTATCAGCTACTGGCCTATGATATTTTACTCAACTCGGCGCAGCTGCATCCCGTGGTGATAAGTGTGAGTATAGACTATAGATGCTCTGATTCCTTCTGATAATGTCGCCGTTGTAGTGGTAGCATTTGCAGCATAAAATGGGCTTGCGATGACGTATACTTGCTCGCCACGTAACCCTAGCAAAATGGCTGAACAAATTCAGTGCGTGTAAACCACTATAATGTGAAATGCTTAATTAAGTTAATGAAAATAATTATAGACAGACATCTTTTTCATAATGACTTAAATGAAAAGTGAATGAAGATACAATCGTAGTTCTATAACATATTTCCGTCTTTGCAAATCCACTTGATGCAGGTGACCCGATTTTATGTTTTATCAAAATTACCATTTTAGGTACATAACGAAAGCGAAGTTTTTAGTGACTGTCAACAGCCACGTTATATTTTACGGAAACAAGCGCTTCTCAACGAGATGGTAGATATAATACTTGACAAGCCAACCAGAACTCCCATGTTTAGAGACGTGAGTTACTAGACGCTCTATTAGACGCTCTAGCGAGGTATCGTGCACTGCAGCACATAATTATGGCAACCAATCTCCGTGGTCTTGCCGTGAGCCTGTTAATTGTTACCTGTTTAATGGGCTTAATTTTATTTTGTTTTATGTTTTATTTTGTTTTGTTTTATTTTGTTTCATTTTGTTTTATGTTTAATTAATTTTGTTTAATGGGGTTAATTTAGCGGGGGACACAGCATGCGAATTTATTCGCACGACCGCAGCATTGTTAAAATCGCAGCGAAATTCGCATAGTGTGTCCGCTCAAGCGATGGCGAATTTCGCCGCGAATTTTTTCCGCACCGAAGTTTGCAGCTATCAAACAT